TGAGAGAAGATTATAAGCTTAGTGAGCCATCAACTTTATTAGCAGACAGCCGGCCATCGACACTAGATAGGCAATATGAACGCATCAGATTTTTTTTGTCATTCACAGCTATTTTGATTTTTCCGGACAATAGGCTATCTGTTAATCCTTAAGTACCATTGGTATCGCTGTGGAGATTTCGATCGATGTTCCAATGGCTACATCCAAGATTTATATTCTAGTAAAATCTCAACACAGCCATTGCAGAAACAGTAAATAGTATTTGAACGAAATTTATAGATTTTATTCGTAAAATATTAATATGAAGGAATTCTGATAATCAAACGATATTTCAATTTTAGAATATTTAAGAATACTTTTAATTCATAAATCAGAGCGTTTTTAAAAAATTCAGTTTTCACCTTTCGCATATATGTAATAAGAGGTTATCGGCCGCGCCAGGCATAGCACTGTGTTAATACACCAAAGTGATATCAACAAGACTGTTAGGGTCTCACTGAAGATAGTCCCCGATATATCAACGATCAAACCTATATGAATCTTAAGTCTTGATAAATGGGAAAATTGCAAAACTGAATATCAGATTGTGTCGACGTATCATAGTGTTATCCTCTATCCATTCCAGTTCCTTCTGTACGTGTTGATTTCACTGATAAATAATGGCCCCTGACAAGCTCTAAGCGTCGACATATTGGCGCTCTTCCGTGAAGAAGTATACATTTTTTATACTGTGTAGGTTAGATCCAGCTTTCATGTGACAACAGAGTTTATCGAGTTATACATCAGGGGGAGATAACAACAGGAAGTATTTCTGCGTCATGGAGTAAAATATTGTTCCTTTGTTTTGAATAGGAAGTGTGACGATGTTATGTATGTAGATAACAGACATCGCATAAACGTGAACGAGGAGATAACTGCAACTACTAGTATATTACATAAACAATCAGAGTCAAAGAACACATAAATGGCATTACTATTTTAATTATACCTATATATATCTATATCTATCTATATCTCTCTATATATGTATGTATGGCATTTTCAAACTGATAACTTTTTAATGTTGCAGATATAATTATAATGACGATTTGACACAACGAAAAAAAGAGAAAATTAATTAGTTTTAAACATGAATTTATTTTCGGTAAAATGTACATGTATTCATAATTGATACTTATTATTCAGATCTAGCGCTCAATACACAAACTCCCCGGGAATGATACCGCTGTATTAGATGACCAGTCACGTCTACTCTACAGCCTACTGATACACACTACATTTGCTAACAGTCTTACACATGAAAACAAACACTGCCCTTCTTGGTCTGTTTTCAGTTTGTAGGGAGATAATGAAATCGCTAAAAGTGTGTATGCCTTTTTCTCACCGGACAGCAATCCCTGGGCAGTGAAGATTTGGGAAATGACGATCGACACAATCTGATATTTTAACGACGCTTCACTCAATATCAGTTCACTTAACAGGATGCAGTTGATGCTGGTCTTACGGTATTTCAGTTTCACATCGATCAGAATCAAAGAAAAATAAGGGCATTGATATTATATCTATATTGCACTTATATACATCAGTTATTATTATCATCATCATTAGGGCTCTACTGAAGATCATGAAGGACGTTTGGCATTGTATCCACACGATGTGATGAGGTGATCGCTTATAATTGACCATTTGTGTGTGTGTGTGGTGTGGTGTGGTGTGGTGTGGTGTGCTGTGGTGTGCTGTGCTGTGCTGTGGTGTGGTGTGGTGTGGTGTGGTGTGGTGTGTGCGTGTGCGTGTGCGTGTGCGTGCGTGCGTGCTTGAAAACAACGATGCGGTCTCATGGACATACGTCAGTGAAAAATATATTTGGAAACAACATCAGTCAACTATGGTTGCATGTGACCAAGAGGGTTGTGAATCTCATCTTCTTCGTCATCCAGAAGCTCTTTCAGCTAAATTAAAATGTTCAAAACATGTACAAGAAGCACCTTCTACATATTAAATAGAATCAGGAATTCTGATTGCAATGGAAGAGAGATTCTTATAAGGGTGACGCTATTTTTCAGGGCATTACCATTTGCAGAAGCCCGAGGTCTTCCATTAACTGCCCAAAGAAAGAGGTGAGGTGAAATTGGGTTTAACGTCGCGTCCAAGATTATTGCACTTATATAGCGACGTGCATGCACGTGTATGTTTGTGTGTGGCTGCTTGTACTAGTCCGGACTGATGCCGATTTATAGTGCTAGCTCACTGAGATACCATGCCGCAGTTTAACATGAATACCCCACTCAGACACAGTATACTGACTCCGAGCCGACCAGTCCTTGTTTTAGCCCCCTAATGCCGAGCGCCAGACAGGGTAACAACAAGTACAATCTTTTAACGTCTTTTTGTATGACGCGGCCCGGGATCGAACCCTGGACCTTCCGCTCTCCGGGCGGACGCTCTACCACAAGACCACGGAGGCGGTCTGCCCGACGAAAGAGGGCAGTTGAAAAGACCGAGGGCTTCTGCAAATGATAATGCCGTCTAGGTGAGGTGAGGAGATTATTGCACTTATATAGCGACGTGCATGTACGTGTGTTTGTGTGACTGCTTGTACTAGTCCGGTCTGATGCCGATTTATAGTGCTAGCTCACTGAGATACCATGCCGCAGTTTAACATGAATACCCCACTTAGACACAGTATACTGACTTCGAGCCGACCAGTCCTTGTTTTAGCCCCTTAATGCCGAGCGCCAGACAGTAATGCCCTGAAAAAGAGCGTTACCGTTATTATAGCTAAAATGGATGGAATTTGTTATCAAATGAAAACAAACAACAATATCGGTTTTGAAAAATTTACTGCAATCAACACGAATGTCACTGACCCACTTTTACAAATATGGAAAGGTCATAGAACAAAACAGATGACGTCACTATTGAACGTGACGTCACCTATCCCTATACTATGACGTCACCTATCAACGGGCGTGATAATGGCCCGTCGTCAAGCAATATGAAGGCTTTATCAAGTTACAGTGGCCTGCTCATTTTTGATGACATGCGGGCGGTTTAGTGATAGTTCTATACATTTTAGCTATAATACACAATAATATCTTTTCTCTTGTAGAGATTGTACAATATGTGCTGTGCAACATAACAATGAACACTTTCCTGATATTCAGTGAATTGTGTTCGGGATAATTTCAATATTTGTGTTAGATAACTTAAAAACATTAACAACAATAAAAAAATAATAGGTGCCTGGTTCCTCATAACACGACATGCAATCCGGCCCTGGAATAGAACAAACACATGATCTGCCTGCGGACGGAACATGTCCGTGTTTGTATAAATTGATACTGGCGGATTTGAGATCCCATGACCACCACAGATCGCATCAATACCCTCGTCAGCTTCATCCAGGTCCCCGTCCCCAACCATGTCGTAATTAAGCGTATGTGAGCCCCGGGGTAGCACAAACGGTGAAGCAACGAATGGGGCATTAATGCAAAATCTAACGAGTGTTACAGAGTGGCGAATAACATGCCAGTTTAAAGTGGAACCATAAGTTTGTTACATGTCAAATTCACTGTAGAGTGATGGGATTTGGTTCACTGAAACTGACATGACCACACGTAATGTAAAGGAATGTGTTGGTTACATTTCTTACTTACAGTTCAGATTATCATCTGTAAAACATACATGAGTTAAATCATGCTGATTCGTATAATTGAAATAGGGGTTAAAATCTACTGGATGGAGAGAACAGTCATTGTTTTCCAAAACCTTGGTGGGGGTTCATGTTAAAAAAAGAATATTAACAACATCATAGATTGAACCACGCGTATACTCACCTATATTTTAGTTAACATGTTAACCGTCTTGCTTTCATAACGAAAACTACACCTAAAATTATTCCGCGCTCGATATTTCGTGTTGGCTCAAAAGTATACACGCTGTTAGAGTTTCTTTATACAACGTATTTTTCCCTCTCCGAATCTGACAATTTACATCGTCAACCGCGATCGCTAGGATCAGCATTTCCAGTATATTCCAGAAATAATAAATAAATAAATAAAATGTTCACTGTACAAAAAACATTTAAGTTCTGTTTATAAAAGAAATATTCCTTGTCTATCCACCTAAAAGGTTCTTATGAGAACCGATTGCAAGAACAGCCTGTAACATGCTTCATAGAATGGCGTGAGCTTAAATGTAAAGTATTTCAGTCATTTCGTGACCGCTTTAAAATAGAAAGTGTTCATGTGCGTTATATAGAAGCAGTACTTATCTCCGCTGTATTTTCACTTATATTTTTGTCCCAAACAACCATACGACACCCGCGTGGCGAGCGACCTCAGCTGACCTTATACCGAGAGGTGACGAGTCGACGACGCGCTGAGTGTATATCATAAAGGGGTCATATTGTCACACGATCGCCGCGCTTGACTTGATCCGTCACTGGAGTGAGACGTCAGTCATCAACTTCGACGAGGCCTGTCCACACGAAAACAGCTGGCCAATGTCACACACAAAACTGACGCGCCAATCAATGAACAGGGATGACAGCTCGGAAACAGTTAAGTGTCGATAGCACTTAATTACATTGTGCAAAAACATTTAGACACGTTGACGAAGCTTCACGCTGCCCCCTTGTTTGTGACTTAGCGAGTTCAGTTGACAGGTTGTGTTGAATGTCAATATAACTGTAGTTACGACTGTTTGAAAGGTGTTACCAGATACAAAGAATACAGTTATACGCGTAGGTCAATAGGTTAACAAAACATACGGAATATACACGTGGTCCAATATGTAATGTTCTTAATCCTCTTTTTGAAAAAAACATCAAACAAGGTGTTGGAAAACATTAACTGTTCCGTCTATCCAGGATGTTAGTTAAGTCCCTGTATATGAAGCGGCATATTCTTTTACTCATGTAGTTTTGTGAGTTAGTGAGTGAATAAGTGAAAATTGAAATATGTTTACAAATGTAAAATTAATGTTTGTTGTGTTTTCAGACTTGAACTAACATGACAGTAACAACAGTTCACCTATCAACGTCGTCAAGATATATTGTGCAAATAGTTAGTTGTTTCAAATCGTGGTTAGAGTGCGTTTGATTTCACGTGGCTTTTTTAATTGACATTTCGGGGCAGTGCCATTTATTTACAGCTTACATGCAGGAAGAGCATGGCCCGCCACTGGTGTCACCGTTCATTAACAGGACTGTAGTTTAGATGCATTCTTCAAATATATTCTGAAATTATCATAGTTTTGTAGTTTAGTGTGAGACATCTGACAATGTTTGAACAGATGGGATAACTGATTGCAGCTTTCAGAGGGATGGGGCCATGGGGCCGTGGGTAATGTTTGGTGCAGACTTGACAGCGAAGTAATCCGTCTGTACCAACAACCCACAGCTAATCCCCCTCGTAAAGAGTACGAACCTTCACATATCTTATATTGCTTATTATCCATATATATTTTAAGGGCTTTATAAGCAATAATTATGTACGTAAAGAACACAATGGAAGTCAGAATCTGTATGCCCGTGTCGTTTTCTACAATACGACAACAGTTCACGGTTCGTTAAGCAGCTCTAACTAACACCGGATTAAATACCCTCAATTGCTGCCGACCATCTAGTCAAAAGTCTCAAGCATCATTCACTATTCGATCATAAATTGCATCCACAAAGGCAACATTGTGATGTCTTGGATTTGAGGAGAGTTTTACGTTGACAGAACAGGTGCAATGTACTTGGCTTTCTCCTGCCCTGTACTGGGACTGACATGGGCAAGGCCGTGTTCGTATACACCACCCGGAGGGCTGGACAAAGGTAACATACCCTCAGACCTGACTTTACCTGCCACATATGAAGAGTAGGGGAAGGGGGGAGGGACCGGTGGCCCCTGACAGTGGAAGGGGAACCTTTTCCCACCGGGTTCCAACTGCAGTGAATATTCTTTCAACCAATAGCTCTTTACAAAACATATATTTCGCATCAAATAACCCTTTAAGCTGTGGATGACTTTCTATAGGTCCAGGATTGCGGCAGCGTCCTCTCTTTGTGGAGACGAGATTGACGGGAGGGACAGTGTACACTTTTTCAAGGCAGAAACTCGACAAAACAGTCATTTCAGAATAGCCTACGGCAAGGTGACCTTTTCAAAAAAAGTATTAATGATATTTCTTTGCTGGTATAAGCTTAAGTGTGGGTTTGTTTACCGAGTGAAGGAATATTATATTCCCTCTTCAAGTACAGAAGTAACATAGACTTCCGGTAAATCTAGAAGCTCGAATTATCATAATGTCTATCAAAGATTTTAGTTCTAAATATTACACTGTCGTCCCCAGCCCAAGAGGTAGTTCGCGTCTGACATGGCTCCGTCAGAGGCAGTGGGACATCGGTCTAGGACAAGGACTCCATCGGACGTTATGGGTCATTGGTCTTGTACAGGTGGCTCCGTCAGAAGTTGTGGGGCATTGGTCTTGTACAGGTGGCTCCGTCAGAAGTTGTGGGGCATTGGTCTTGTACAGGTGGCTCCGTCAGAAGTTGTGGGGCATTGGTCTTGTACAGGTGGCTCCGTCAGAAGTTGTGGGGCATTGGTCTTGTACAGGTGGCTCGGTCAGATGTTGTGGGGCATTGGTCTTGTACAGGTGGCTCCGTCAGATGTTGTGGGGCATTGGTCTTGTAAGGTGTCTCCGTCAGAAATTGTGGGGCATTGGTCTTGTACAGGCGGCTCTGTCAGAGGTTGTGGGGCATTGGTCTTGTAAGGTGTCTCCGTCAGAAATTATGGGGCATTGGTCTTGTACAGGCGTCTCCGTCAGAGGTTGTGGGGCATTGGTCTTATACAGGTGGCTCCTTTAGAAGTTGTGGGGCATTGGTCTTATACAGGTGTCTCCATCAGAAGTTGTGGGACATTGGTCTTGTAAGGTGTCTCCGTCAGAAGGAATGGGACATTGGTCTTGTACAGGCGCCCCCGTCAGAAGATGTGGGACATTGGTCTTGTACAGGTGGTTCCGTCAGAAGATGTGGGACATTGGTCTTGTAGAGGTGGCTCCATCAGAAGGAATGGGACATTGGTCTTGTACAGGCGCCCCCGTCAGAAGATGTGGGACATTGGTCTTGTACAGGTGGCTCCGTCAGAAGGAATAGGACATTGATCTTGAACAGGTGGCTCCGTCAGAAGGAATTGGTCACAGGGACTGTGTGCCTGACTGTGCTTGACATACCCTTGTGACGAACCTTGGTCTGACTTTGACATACCGTTAAGACGAACAGTGTTCTTGATGTGAACATCCTTGCTTCAGATGTTCTTCGGTGGAAGCAACCACACCAGCCAGCCTCGCAACTTCAGTGACGTTATTTGTCTACACATATCCGAGCCAAAGGCAATGTTTCAAGTTGTACAAACAATTCTCCAGAAATGTTGCTGATTCGATAAAAGTGCTATGTTAATGATCAACTGTTGAAGTTGTGTACAGATCTAGAGATAAGCAGTTATTATTGGAACCATTTATAACTGTCCCTGGTTACCGAAGCATGTCTCATTATCACGAAGCAGGAGCGACTACCACATTTCTCACGCACTGAGACGCACCAGGGTTTATACCTACACGAAGAGGACGATCTACACGACATACTAGCTCACATCAGTGCTGACATGAAGACACTTTCCCGTGAGTCCCCAGCATGACTCTCTATGTGTACATATTTGTCCCTTCTCTCTATCTCTCCACGTTCGCCTTCCCTTGTCGGTTATTGGCTTCCCCACGTCATCTGCCATGACACCTCCCTCTACTTATCTCTCTATTTCTCTCATCATTAGGCTGAGAACATTGTTATAGTATTGTGAAAACACGTACATGCTTTCCGGTTTGGTTGACGTTCGTTTTAATGGAACAAGAAGGTTGGGAGCATCCGAGTCTGAGCCCCATAGAGGCTTTCCATGTAGCGCAGGAACTGTCGGGCTTATCGTCTGCTATGGTTCATGCACCACGCACGGGTAAAACAGCAGACGACAATATTGTGCTGGTGGTCCGTGTAGCATCGATACCGGTAAACCACGGAGGAAACAAAATTACACACATGATTCACCGGCGGGGCTCGGGGGGCTGGCGTGCAGTGGGGTGATTCTGATGGAGGTTTATCTGATGGCATAGATACTTTCAGAGGCTCTATTGACTGGCTTTGTCTGGCTGTCACAGTAGTCCCATCAATGCCACTCGATGATCCAACTTTCCCATGGACAGCCAGCGCCCGAATACCGCCAGTCGTCTTCTGGAGTCCTCATATAGGATCCAGGCTCGCTGGGGCGGACAGGGGGTCGAACTGCCGCAATCAACCGTCAAGTCATAATGGCGGTGAAAGCGAAGCCAAGTGTTGTAATTAGTTCAAGCAACGGTGATTAAGTGATGAGTAAATGGATCATAAGATTTCTTAATTGTTTCCATCCATTCACTTAAGAAACGTACACCAATTGAGCTGAAGATGATTTACAATTGTTGAACTTTCCATTCAAATTAAGATTCATAGATGATATGCTGTAGTATGACAGTGACGAAGGTGTAGTATGACAGAGATGGTAGTGTAGTATGACAGAGATGGTAGTGTAGTATGACAGAGATGGTAGTGTAGTATGACAGAGATGGTAGTGTAGTATGACAGAGATGGTAGTGTAGTATGACAGAGATGGTAGTGTAGTATGACAGAGATGGTAGTGTAGTATGACAGTTGCGGTAGTGTAGTATGACAGAGATGGTAGTGTATTATGACAGTGGCGGTAGTGTAGTATGACAGTGACGAAGGTGTAGTATGACAGAGATGGTAGTGTAGTATGACAGTTGCGGTAGTGTAGTATGACAGAGATGGTAGTGTAGTATGACAGTGGCGGTAGTGTAGTATGACAGAGACGGTAGTGTAGTATGACAGTGACGGTAGTGTAGTATGACAGTGGCGATAGTGTAGTATGACAGTGGCGGTAGTGTAGTATGACAGTGACGAAGGTGTAGTATGACAGAGATGGTAGTGTAGTATGACAGTGGCGATAGTGTAGTATGACAGAGATGGTAGTGTAGTATGACAGTTGCGGTAGTGTAGTATGACAGTGATGGTAGTGTAGTATGACAGTGGCGGTAGTGTAGTATGACAGAGACGGTAGTGTAGTATGACAGTGGCGGTAGTGTAGTATGACAGTGGCGATAGTGTAGTATGACAGTGGCGGTAGTGTAGTATGACAGTGGCAGTAGTGTAGTATGACAGTGGCGATAGTGTAGTATGACAGTGGCGGTAGTGTAGTATGACAGAGACGGTAGTGTAGTATGACAGAGACGGTAGTGTAGTATGACAGAGATGGTAGTGTAGTATGACAGTGGCGGTAGTGTAGTATGACAGAGACGGTAGTGTAGTATGACAGTGACGGTAGTGTAGTATGACAGTGGCGATAGTGTAGTATGACAGTGGCGGTAGTGTAGTATGACAGTGACGAAGGTGTAGTATGACAGAGATGGTAGTGTAGTATGACAGTGGCGATAGTGTAGTATGACAGAGATGGTAGTGTAGTATGACAGTTGCGGTAGTGTAGTATGACAGTGATGGTAGTGTAGTATGACAGTGGCGGTAGTGTAGTATGACAGAGACGGTAGTGTAGTATGACAGTGGCGGTAGTGTAGTATGACAGTGGCGATAGTGTAGTATGACAGTGGCGGTAGTGTAGTATGACAGTGGCAGTAGTGTAGTATGACAGTGGCGATAGTGTAGTATGACAGTGGCGGTAGTGTAGTATGACAGAGACGATAGTGTAGTATGACAGAGACGGTAGTGTAGTATGACAGAGACGGTAGTGTAGTATGACAGAGACGTTAGTGTAGTATGACATTGGCGGTAGTGTAGTATGACAGAGACGGTAGTGTAGTATGACAGAGACGGTAGTGTAGTATGACAGAGACGGTAGTGTTGTATGACAGTGGCGATAGTGTAGTATGACAGTGGCGGTAGTGTAGTATGACAGTTGCGGTAGTG